TGGTGTCATGTGGTTAAAACCACTTCATCGAATCCTCCATGAAGAAATTTCATGTTTATGAAAATGCTTAAAAATGAAATGTAGATGCAAAATGCAAGAGGCATTGATCTAAAAACATGTCTATTATTATAAATAATCTTTATTGGGACAAAAGTGTTTTATCTTTTAAGAGACAATAAACATATTTAAAGGTACATCCGAACTAAATCCTCTAGACCCCGAAATAAGTTGACTAGTCTTCTGCCTTCGTGTGTCACCGGTCGAATACCCTGCCGAACCGCTCCGGCTTCTCTAGCTAAACCGTGCAAGTGACGAGCTGTTTTTTCTACTTGTTCTCAAAAGTATCGAATGACTGCATCTCTGGCTTTCATCCTTTGCTGAATCGGAAACTCCATTGAAATCCTCCATCAAAGGGATTATCCGAAGTTCATTTGCTTGTTTCTTGAATTTGTCAACAATGACTTCCAATTCAGCTATCGTTTTGCCATCTTGTTTTTGTCATCTTTGAATGGACTCTCGAGGTTAGTAACCTTTTTTCTCGTCTTGCCCCTGCCACCTTTGTCAACCCATTTTTGAAAAGTTAACTTTTGATGTATTTGATTATGGGCGTCATGTCTTCTTGATCGAATGTGACACATAGTTGTCTTGCAGATTGTCCTCATTTTCTTTCTGAGTCTTTTCTGACCATAGCCGGACCCCTGCGTTTTTCACCTCTTGTATTACAACCCCTTTGTCCATTAATGCGAATTATTTATGTTTTAACAAACACGTTTTTGGTGGATCAATACCTCTTTTAAATGATGCAAATGATGAAAACAAAATAAAAGAGAACAAAAATGAAAAAGGTTAGTGAGGTGAAAATAATAAAAAACAATCATGAAAATAAAAGTCCTACCCCACATGATATCTACCCCACATGCTTATTATTCCTACCCGGACATGATCTTTATCCCGCAAGTTGATTTTGAACAAGTCCTAACCGCATAAATTTCTAGTTCACATGCTTTGAACAAAAAGTAAAGCAGGAAATAATTCCGGTATCCTAGGGTTTGAAATGAGGATTTGGGGTGGGCTCTAACTCCTTCAAAGTCTCCCAGTTTAGGTTCTAAAAAACGGTACCCGAGTTCTCCTTGCTGGTGCCCCCTTGGGCTTACCAGACCCTTAGTCCTAAACCCATCACAGGCTTGTGTGGACTAAGTTAAACTCGAGAGGAAACATTCCCTTATGCCCATACGGAGAATAAATTCACACGAAGACATAAGGTATATGAATCCCGAAGGATACTTGCTAGGCCCGCACGGTGAATAAATTCACACGAAGGCGTCGCTTTCACCCCCACTTAAATAGGGTCCGGAGCTCGGGTATAGAGCCTTAGACGAAAAATCTTTAAGGGCTGAAATCATTAGAAAACGGTTAGTACAACTATTTACTTGAAAAAAAATAATCAAAGATAAATAATTGGAATCGAATAAATAAATTAAAATTTAAACTTGTAATTTTCGCTAAAAAAGACAAACGAAAATTAATTATGGCCTGACTCACTTACCTGTCCCCAGCGGAGTCGCCAAGTTGTCGCAACCGTCTTTCGGTTGGGCCCCAAATTGGGCTTCAACTTAGGAAAATGGATTGGGAGTCACCACCGATCATTTATTTAAAACAAATGGGTTGATCGGATACCCTATTTCTTACCTGATCTACGTCGTGCCAGAGATGTGTCGGATTCAGGAGTCGGTTACAGTCAAGGAAGGGTTAGCACCCTTGAACTGCCCTTTCGGTACTACGTAATTTTCAGTTGTCTTAATTAAGAAAATTGCAAATTTAAATTGAAATGTAAAACAACGATCCCAACTACTTACAAATGATTGATTTGAAAGCGTGCCCTTTAAAAGTTAAAATACATGTTAGAAGAGATGAAATAAATAATAAAGGAAGTATTATAAATGAAATAAGGAAAGTAATAAAAAATAAAGTGAATATAAAAATGAATAGAACACATAAAATAAATAAAATGAAGAAAAATAATAGCACTAACATATACCTAGCAAACAACTAAATAAAAATAAGATGATAATGCAGATAAATAAATAAAACAAATAAAAGGAAGATAAAAAGAATGGAGAATAAAAATAAAAATAAAATAGATAATTAAATAAATAAAATATGCAAAAAAAAAGAGTAAAAGCATATATATACGAAAATAATAATAGTGAGAATAATAGTAATAATAAGAAAATTAAATAAAAAATGTATATACATATATAATAACATATAAACTAAGCATTTAAAATAAATAAATAAACAAATAAAATTAAACTAGAAAAAAGGTAAAAACAAAAGGACTAGATTGAAAAGAAAGCGAAATTTAAAGGCCAATTTGCGAATAATTCAGGTTTGATATCGATTTGGGGCCGAAAATAAGTAAATTGTATCTCCGGGGGACTGAAGGGGTGATTTACCCTCTCTTGGATGGAAACACGCGGATCTGAAGGATGAGCGGGTCGGGCCACGGTCTAAAACGGGTCAGCTATATATCTGAAGAATTAAGCAAAAATTTGCTAAACCCTCATTCATAAACAAAAGCCTCCTCCCCTTTATCCTTAAACGCCATGGTTCTTCATGAACCCAGAAAACGCCACCCTACGCCGCCTCGCCGTCGCCGTTGAACGGCGTCGGCCGTCATTCATCGGCAGCAAAACTCGTGTTTTTATATTTTTTTTGAAATCTCGAAAGCTTTTTGAAATTCCTTTCTAAAAACAAAGATTGTTTTTCAAAAATCGATTAGAAAAAGCGTAGATCTAAAATTTTTTTTGAAAAAAACGAAGGGCCTCCCTTTCGTTCCTCGGCCGAATGGTTTTCTTGGTGGTTCAAAAACTCAACAATAACGGCATGCAAGCAGTGCAAGGGAACCGAATCGAAAAACAAAGGTAAAAGCGATACCTTTTATTTATTTCTCTTTCGAAATTTACAAGAGATTTGCTAGTTTTTCATGTGTTTTCTTGTGTACCCTCTCGTAATATTTGTGTATCTCGTGTGTGTGAAATTGTGTGAAAATTCTGTGTAAAAACAGTGTGTAAAACCCCCCCCTTTTACATATTGATTTTACACTTATTTATAGAAAAAATAAAAGCCTATTCCGTGTGGTTTTAGAGTTCTAATGAGATTAAAACTCTTTGCTTTGTCTTTGGTCTTCATGTGGTCTTCAAACACCAAGCAAAATGGAGGATGTTGCCACCGGAATCGGGACTCTCCCAGAATCGTGCGGGGGTTGACTATGTTGAGGGCTTGTGGCGAACTAGGGTTCTGCACCTTTGGGTGGTTCGGGTCCTGAACCGGGTCGGGCCACGTGTAGTCTGGTTCTGGGCGAAATTTGGTATCTTCAAGCTTGATATCGTTTAATCAATATCTCATATTCGAGTCTTTGTGTATGTAGAAAATCGCCGTTGAGAGACTCATTTACCAAAATCAAATATACAATATGAGTCGGTCCAGATTAAACATGACAAAACCTTAAAATTGAATAACAAAAAAATTAAGAGACATGTAGAACCTAAATGGGAAAAGGACAGAAATTCCATTTCTCATTTTCATAGAATCCATTGGGGGAAATAAACAAAATATTTTTATTTAAAATTTTGATTGGATTTTTAATATTATTTTTTCAAATTTCAAAATTTTGAAAACTATCCTAAAAATTCAAAAGTAGCAAAATAAATGTTTTATTTTTAAACGATAAAGAAAAAACCAGCAATCTCTTTTGAAATTAAACGCATGTGGTCATGTTATTTCCATGACCTAACCAACGTCACAAGTTTCCATGTTCCAACACTAATTTACTTAAATAATTTACTTAAAGTTGGGACCGTTCATCCTATAAAATTACGAGTAATCATTATAATCGTTATAATCATATACCTAACACCAACACTAAAATTCAATATATAAACTTTTATGACACGTAAAAAATGATCTTCTTTTTTCTTCCTCTTCTTCTCTCCCCATATAAAGATAGAAGAAACGAATTTTCATCTTTGATAGACCATTAATCGTACACGCATTTTTCAACCTAAATCAAAAAGAATAAATCGTCTAAAATCATTAATCGTACACGCACTTTTCAATTTGATTTGCACTTTTTATCTAAATCAGAAAAAATAAATCGTCTAAAACCACTGTACCCTAATATTACGGCCAACAAGGTTCAATCAATATTATATAGTTAATAAGATACTTGTTTAATACTAAAATATCATAACAAATAAGGGGAATTACTACATTACTAGTGGTGAAGAATTTCTTCAAATATCTTTTTATCCTATCTAAGGTTTACATTGTGAAAATTGTATTGGAACAACTCCCCACTCTATTCTTTTTTGTACGGCAGTTATCATTCTCTTGGGCGATTTTCAACTTTATTGCATTCATGGCAGTCGTAGTGGTCTTTTCCGATAACCACTCTGTCATTTTTAGTTATATTTTATCGTATTTACTATAATAAGTCTCTTAACCCTTTTTATAGTAAAGAATATCATAACTATCAATGTTTCTGAACTCTCGATGCATGTTTTTTTATTGATTTTCTTCTTTGCTTTTCATGATTATTACTTTACCGCGGCATGGTTCCTTTATTCAGTTGTATAAGGCAATTCGTTAGTTATCGTATATATGTACCGGATGAGATTATTATTAAGGATTATTGTTAAGGAGAGATCGGTTTATCCGTTAGACTTGTTAGTTTCTTTTTTCAAGTTTCTCTTCTCTATGTTTGTGCTTGAACCGTTGGTGAGTTTAATATATGTACATTGTTGCTTCACTTGTCAATGGTTTTGTTTATAGACTATATCTAAGTGATTATTGTTATTTTTTATTTTCGATAGTCTCGACTATATTTATTTCATCTTATCATAATTGACAAGACGTTTATTAATATAACGTTTGATAAATGAAATTTTCAGGTTATTTAAAAAAAATTACATTGTCACATGTAAAAAAAAAGGGTGGGTGGGTTTATGATAAGAAATTACTGGTCACTAGAAATTGACATTCTCATCTCCATGACTTTCTTGTGAGAATTGGAGTGCAAATAGCTAACAAAAGTAGGGCTTTTGGCTGGCCTATACTCTGGCAGCAACCTCCCTGATTTGTACCTCACCCCACATGCATTACATAGTGTCTTTGGTCCCATTGGTCCCGCCCTCCACTGTGGTGTCCTTTGTGCCAAACAATGGCTACACCTCCTCCCCTGCTGCTGCTGACCCCTCTCCGCCGCCGCAGACGGCTTTTCTTCCTCCGTGATGCCCTCTTTCATGGTACTACTGCTGTTGTTGTCATCTTCCTTCTTGGGCACTATGAGTTCACTGTCGGCTAACCAGCACGGTTGTTGGAGCAGAAGAGGGTCGTGGTTGGCCAATTGGAGGCTACATGACCAGTCAAAAAATGGGTTGTTTTTGGTTTTGAATAATATCGTTGTTGACGCTGAACTCGAAACCCTCTTTCGCTTGCTCCTCGCCTTGCATGGAACCGCGAATTTCTGCAACGAGGGCGGGGTTATCTGGTGGGGTTTCTTTGAGGATTTCGCCGCCGTTGGTGGCGGTGCGGTTGGAGGCTTGGTTTCGAAAACCGGGATACAGTTCCCGATGCTCGAGAAACAATCTTCAACGAAGATAGATAACCATTCCAAGCTCACATCCACTTCCTGTACAAAAGAGACAAACTTCAGAACAAAAAACCAGAACTCTGAAGTGCATGCAAAGAGGGACAAAGGAACTGAGCCACCGAGTCACTGACCGTGTTTTGAGTTGAGAAAAGGTCATCAATGGAGGTTGTAGGAGCTTGATTCTCACCGGAGACCGACACATTCCTGAGAAAATCCATGCCTGACAGAAAAACAAAAGAGAAAATTCCTTTGTTCTTGAAGGTAGGAACTTGAAATGGAAAACAAAAGAGGAGGAGGAGGAGGAGGAGAAGAAGAGAGAAATGTTGGTTTTAAGAAGTATGGGGTACTTTGCTCAGCTGTATATGTATTCAATATGCTTGCACCCCTCTCTCTTTGTGGCCTAGTTTTCTGTCGGCAGACAAAGAAAACAAAATTTCAAAACTTATTCAATTACCATGAAATTATAGAAAAAAAGGTGGGGAAATTGCCCATATCTCCTCTTTTTACTGCTTAAATATACGTGTTATGATTTCATATTCTTGGGGTTATTAAATTAACTTAATATGGGGACAAATTTTGAATTTTGTTGCACTATAAGGTTTGAATGTGTGTTTATGAGGCAATGGAGGGAGCAAAGGAGAGGGGTTCGAGTGCAACTGTGGGGTCATAAATCCAAGGCCTGCTTGAACTCTGAAACCTGCTCTTGTTTTAAAAAATTGACCCCAAAAGTCCAAAAATTGGGGAAAAGTGCTATATATAGATGTTTAAATTCAGGGATCTCGTTTTTAGGAACCCGAAGTTTTGGGTACCCGAATCTTGAGGTATTTGATTTTTCAGTCCATGTTCTTATCGGAATATTGCGGGTACCTTATATCCGGTATCTAAATTTTAAGGGTGCCTGTAATTCGGGTAATCGGGTACTGATTCTTTTATGCCACACTCATGTAACCGTTTGACTTCCTCAGCTTAAAGAAAAACCCATACCCACAAATCTAAAAAATTAAAGCCTCCCCATCTCAAATCAAAACACCTTAGGTCATCTTCAGCCCTCATCTCTACTCTACAGTTATCTTTATCTTTACTCTAGAGATAAAACAATAATTCATCTCCAGCGCTATCTCTACATTATCAACAACTCTATTTTATTCACAATATTTAACTATTATAATATTGATTTTACAAATATAAAATAAAACATATACATTTCTAAAAAAATATCAAGATAAAAAGTATAAATAAAATATTCATAAATAACATTGTGAAAATATAAATAAATAAGAAAATTACAATTAATAATAATAATGTGAAAAACATAAGTTACATAATTATTTATTTTAATTCTCCGAATTAGAATATTCATTCCACAAATGCTCAATTAGTATGTTTATTTATCTAATTTAAATATATTTTTATCTATATTGTAATTTAATCAACTTGAATATATTATATTATGTTAAAATTTTATTTTATTGTGTAGAAATTACAATTAAAAAGATAAAAGATATAATAAGAGAAAATAATTTAAAAAAGAAAAGAAAAACAAAAATCATGAATTTTTTTTAGAGTTGCTACAGTAGCAACACTACATGTAGCGTCCAGCTCCAATTGCTCTTCAGAGTAGAGATGCATCTAGCACAGGGCTGGAGACTCTACAGTGCTTCTCCAACTCCACTCCAGCGCAGCGCTGGAGTTGCTCTTAAAGAAACATGAGCAAATTCCATACACAAAAAAATCTAGCTTTATTCCTAAAACCTCAAAACAAGAAAACCCAGACAAAACCCCAAAAATATAAAGAAGGCAAAATCCACCTGAAATAAAGAACTATGAACTATCTGTCTTGCTCAGTTGATAGAGCGCAAGGCTCTTAATCTTGTGGTCGTGGGATCGAGTCTCACGGTGGGCAATTCATAATTTTGACTGCCTGAGGTCTTCCACGGAAGCTGTTCTCAACCTGGCGTTGGGGGCAACTTACTACCTTACCTCCCCTCACTCCATTACATATAGGAATAGGGTCAGCTAATTTATATGAAAAAAATAATAAGTGAATGAGAAAATAGAAAGAAAAGATGTTAGGGTATGAAGGAATCAAGCGAAGAGTTGGGTGTTTTTCAATGTTTTACATAATATTCAAAGCAATATTAATATATATGTAACATTTTTTTTAAGTTTACAATATTAAAAGGTATAACAATATCACAAGTCATAACATATATAAATTAAAAACCATAAAATCAAGTGAAACAAAATGATTCAAATCAACTACAACATAAATTTAAGGTAAAACATATTAAATAATAAATATAATTATATAACTATAATCAAAAAAATAAAATTGGGGCTTAAAAAAATCATAACAAATGATGTCATTTGATTTAATTGTTTAAAAAAAACAATCCCACATGGCTAAGAAACATAGAAGAGCATCCCAAAAGTTTAAAGAGTAAAAATATGATAACAAAACAATCTCACATGGCTAAGAAACATAGAAGAGCATCCCAACTTACTTCCATAAATAATAGAGGTAATTTGACATTCAAAATCATGGAGCCTTTTGGTGAGCACAAAGCGAACTATTCTTTCGCTTCAATTGAGCTCAAAATTTAGGCTTCAATCGAACTTCTAAATTTGTTTTTTGAGTTCGAGCCTTTTAGATTTCAAGTTTTAATATTATATTTCGAGTTCGAGTTGAACTTGATAATTTTTAGCTCGTGAGTTTTTGAGTCGAGTTGAGCTTACTTTTAAAGTTTTTGAGTTCGAGTCGAGCTCAGCAATACTCGAATTTGACTCGGCTCATCCGGTTTTGGGAGTTAACCGGACCTGACAGACCACCGGTTCACGGTTCAACCGGTCGAACCGGCCGGTCCAGTCCGGTTTTAATAACATTGGTGTTTTTTTTAGCTTCTTTTGGAGTCATCAAGGTCAATGTAACACGTGCGATGTTTAAAACAAGTTTAAAATATTAACTACATTAGGAGGGAAAAGGCCAAAGGCAAAAAAGCAACTAGGTACTCGGGTAATTGGGTATCCGGAAAAAATCTAACTTTTTGATCAGGGCTCGACTTGGGAAATGCCGGGCCAGGTTCCCGACCTGGTCAGGTATTTTTTTAAAAGAAAATTACCTGTTTTTTAAGTTCGGGTTGTCGGGTCAGGTATTTTTTAATACCTCTATACACAGTGGTGAAGCTTGCTACAGTGTATATAACCTGATAGGGCTGCTAGATTCTTTAAAATGAAAGGTTAAACTTCCTTTTAAACCAGGCTTTTATCAGGTGATGTTGATCTTGATGAAGGCCCGAGGGTAGCAATAGTGTTTTATTCATTTGCTAAGTACTCGTATCCGATATAATCCGAAAGATACAAGTACGAAACCGAAACCCGGATTCAAATAACATAAATCTAGGTGTTCCCTTCTAATGGATGTGCTAACAATAAGGGATGTCATTGTAAATCGGATTCTATGGTTCAAAGCAGGAACCGGTGGCTAATATAGCTGAAAATGACACTTCCACTCGTGTGTGGCATTGTGGAGGAATATGAACCCTAGGCATGAGGTTAAAGCACATGTGAAGCGAAGCAAAGATTACTGGAAATTAAACATGGGGATCCACAAAAACTTTATGCTTGGTGCTTCATATTTGATATATATATAAACAGATAAAAGTATTGCAGAAGGAATAGTTTCTGATACTGGTCTGGTTCTTATTGGTAGAGCTATAATCTTCACTATGTATGTACATGATGGATGAAGATGGTACATCATACATCCATGGGACCCCACATCAATACATCAGCCATTATCAAATTGCTTGATGAATGTCCCCACCAGAATGGTGGATCATTTACACATTCAATAAACAAACAGTAAGTCAATTGTGGCCAGTGGCCACCCTTTGAACCACCAAGCCATGTGAAACCACCGGGGAAATTTTGAACATCCCAATTAACACCCCCCATCTCCCTATTTGTCTTGCCTCATTTCGGCCACGTATCGACCGATTCGATCGCCCTCTAAGAAGTAACATCGAATCGATTTAAAAGATTGAAAATAAGGGGGTACCCTATAATTTTTTAGTGCACTTGTGAGGGGCTGCTGCATTTTTTCTGTCTGGTAAAGGGGACAGAGTCATCCCCAACTGCTGCCCCTCAATGGGGTAGAAATAGGACAATGGGAACAATTATTGTAGGGTGAATAATTTTATGTTAAATGGGTAAATTTGAACTTATAAAATTTGAGGACAAATAAAATTTTAGGGTTGAAAACAGATTTTCAATAAAAAAATTCATTAAAAATATATATATAAAATATATAATAATTTTAAAATTTTAAGGGTTATCCGCCCCGCCTAGATTTATCCCTAAGTAAAGGGGTCAGAGTTTTTTTTTGTGAATGGTGATAATAATGAGATGAAATAGATACAATGATATGTGCCTAAAAGATATGATTATGTCCAGCCATACGATCAAAAGTCCACAAGCATGACAACACCACTCGCTATAATGAAAAATCTCAACATTAAAACAAAGGTACAATATCAAAAAAGTCCCTAACGTTTGATTAAATAATTATTTTAGTCTAATTTTTTAGAATATTTTACCTTCAACTTTTTATTTTAGGATAAAAAGACTCTTAATGTTTAACTAAATAGTCACTTTAACTCTTATTTTTTTGTCCCCAATATTCCATGGAGATGTCCTTTTGCCTCAAAAATAAAACGTTAGGGAGAAAAATGTTCCAAGAGAAAATAATAGAACCCAAAGTGACTATTTAATTAATTAAGAGTATCTTTTGCCATTATGCCTTAAAATGGGTTTGGATATATATATTCCTTGAGATGAATTCCATGTGACTATTTCGAAGGATTCGAGTTTTAAATTTACTGAATGTTATCTCTTAAAGATAATTGCATGAACTATCTAAATAACATGGGATATAGATTCAAAATCAAATAATTGTAGCTGAAAATAAGTTGGTCAAAAAGGAAAATTAGGGTTTGTTTTATATTTCATATTGGGTCATTGGAAAAAGAAAAGGGGGTAAAAAGTTGAGTTTGATGTTACATTGATCACACTCCAAATTCATGTACGGGACAAGTAGGAAAAAAACCCATAAATTTAGGGGTTGTTTGTTTGTCTCTTAATGGAATCATTCAACGCTGAATGTTGAACCGTTCAGCATTCAACTCATTTGTTTCGCACCTCTGAATGATTCAGTGCTGACTGATTCAGCAAAACAGTGTTGAATGATTCAGCACAGAAGTACATTCTGAATAATTCAGAGTCATTATCAAATAGCATGTCACATTCAGAGCTAATTCATACAGAGCCTCTGAATCATTCAGCATTTGAATCATTCAGCGCTTAATCATTCGGAAATTTGGGTCATCATATTCGGGTCTCGGTTCGGGTAAATCAGTTCTGGTAATCGGGTTCGGGTCAAATATGCCAGGTCTAATTAGATTACTAGATTAAAGGTATTCACCCCTTCTTTTGGTTCAAACTTTGAATTTTCCATATGAATCCATTCAAATATTCTGATCGAAGGAGAGTGACAGTAGATTTCATGGAGCTTGTATGTATAGGTCTTATAAACATTTACGATAATCTATGTTACTCTGATTCGAGTGTTAGTGTCGGATATGGATTGTCTCCGACCGACATACCTATATATTGATCGAGAATTTTAAGCAACATAAGTTTAGAGCATAGTTCTATGAAAAGATCAAGATGAACAATGAGAAGCACATTAGCAAGAAAAAAAATATTATACGCACAGCTTTCTTGGAATGATCATCAGTAACATTATACAATGCTATGGTTAAAAATTCTTTGGGGTTGTTAAGCACTTTGTAGACATGAATAAATCCATTTCCCGAATCGGATGTCGGAATACGATACCAACTTCCGAATGCAGGGTAGAAATGGGGGACTTATCTGATACGTATGAAGATTTAAGAATGTACGACAGGTTAAGGCTCCATGGAAGAGGAGAGATACTGTGGCCATTCTTCCGGTGTCCCGTTTCTCGTCCTAAACATCTGTATCGCCGCACTTGTTAGAGGTATCGCAAGTATGTCGTAATCCTTGGGAGCCTGTACAATGAAGGTGACAAGATATTGGTTCCCAAAGATGAAAATTGTTCTGATGCTAATGGTGTAGGGAAGATACCTTGGGGACCTTAATCAACGTCATGTTTGCTTCCTCCGGCGTTTTTCGACCTTTCTTCGAATTGCACTTGGCACAAGCAGTCACCTATGGCTCAAACAACAGTCAATGGAGTTGATCCACAAATAGAGAGTCAACCATCTGTTTGTTTAATAGGCCATCTTACCAGATTCTCCCATGTTCATTCCCCTCTTGCAACTGGAAGAACATGGTCGATGGTCAAGTTATCGCGAGCACGGCAATACCTGTTGACAACGGAAACATCGGCCGAAAAGAAGCTCGGAAAGCAACAGATAATTGTTCTCGAACTGAACTGATTTCAGATAATTGTTACAACGACTTACTGACAAGTGAAGTTGTCCCTAAGTAGAACACTTCTTCGACTTAGATTGGTGCTGACAACATCAAATCGAGCGGAGTAAGTCACATGAGGATGAGGAACATTGAGAAAAGAAGGCAAAAATGATCCTCTGTTTCATACCCTTAACACAGCTGGTATGTTGAAGGATCCACTCGGCTAGTTCACGGTCTATCATAGTACTCTAGAACATCAGCCTGGATAAAAGCATGATAAAAGGGACTTAAACATCGAAAAGAACGAATTTGATACTATGTTACTCTTGTATACGGTACGCGTTAACACGGGTATGTTCGGGTTTTATTCGATGTTTTTCCATGAACTGTGAGGGACCTTTAAGCATCATAGGTTCTCTATGCATGCTTCATCCATGAATGTGAGTATAAGTGTAAGAAAACTAAAAGCCTCACATGGCTTTCCACCCGAACATCTAAAATGAAATGGTGAGCCAGACTATCCAACCTTCTCCATGAACTTCAAAAAAACAGCACGCCTCCAGCAAACAACATTGATCGGCCTATCGGGACGTCGACGATCGGACCCGAACTCGTAAGAAAACCAGTTCAAATCATTAGAAAGATATCAAGAACAACAGAATTCATGTTGCAGATTGAACACGAGGGAGAAAACAGTGCCAGATAATTCACCCATACAATCAACCATCAGTGGCTACATGCAATGCACACTCAGTTTACATAGCTGAAATAACAAAAGAAAGCATCAAAAATCAAACAAGAAAAAAAAATGGTAAACGAAAACAAAAATTACCTGTAAGAGATGTCCAAAACAAGACCTCTAAAACAAGCCAACTCATCAATTTCAAGCTCACTATCATAATCATCATCTTGAGTTCCTTCATCACTCACATCAAGACTCGCCTTTGCATTGAAGTGGTGTTTTCTAGGAGTGGAACCAAGATACCTGAACATACCCTTTTGAACTTGAAGTGATTTAAGGCCGGCAGAACCCCCCGAAAAGATTGGTAAGGAGCTTGTAACGAAGAGGGTCCTTTGGTTCCACTCCATCGCCATGGAAGAGCAGCTTCAAACGCCCTTGTGCTGTGAATTGAGCCATTAACTGAAACTCAGGAATCGGTTTAGGCTTCGGAGAAGTTGAATCAGAGTAGTTAACGTTGTTGTTTAACCGAGCAAGCAGACAAAGGATTATGTGCAGGTAATTTTTATTTTCGTTAAAAGAAAATGGGAAAATTGGATTATGCATTTATCTTTTTGATTTCAGGGTGTGTCCTATCTCCCATTATGAACTCATGAACATAATCCATTTACTTCAATACAGCCGACCCCCGGTTCTTTCCTCATTCCCTTGTTCTTCATTGCTTTTCTCACCACTTCAACATCAAACCACCTGTTTGCAATTGCATATATATTTAATAAATAATTTTAACTTAAAATGTTAATATCGAAGTCTTAATAAATTAATTTTTTTAATAATTAAATTATGAAATAAATTTCAAACTTTATGTAATTCTATTTTCTTCTCTTTTAGTTGGATAGCCATGCCGTAGGAGTGGGATTTATTCCGTAGACTTAGTTTACTTGACTTAGTTGACTTGACCTCCTTGACCGTATGCTTTTTGACTCTCAATTTAATTTTTTTTGGGTGCAGTAACTTAGAAATTTCTCAAGTGAAAGTTCCTTGCGCGTGCTGTCTACCGTATTATTTTTAGCATGACTCCCTATATATTCGCAGTTGCTAGAAAAGGTTACTACAATGCAATTGCAACCATGACAATTCTTACAAAATCCTCATTCCCATTTCTTCTTCTCATTGCAGCTGCCTGTGTTAGCTTCTGCCATGGCAATTCCAATGTGCTTTGCATTGGAAGTGAGAGAGACGCTCTTTTGAAGTTGAAGAATGATCTGATCGATCCCTCAAACAGGCTATCTTCCTGGGTTGAAGGTGGGGATTGCTGTGAATGGAATGGTGTTGTTTGCCATAACACAACAGGTCACGTCACCCAACTGCTCTTGTCTACTCCTGATGGATGGCAAGGTTACGATCGTTCTGCTCTAGGAGGCAAAATCAATCCTTCTCTGCTGGAGTTGCAGCATCTCAATTGGCTTGACTTGAGCAATAACAATTTTAGCAGCATTCAAATCCCTGGGTTTTTGGGTTTGCTGGGGAGTTTAACGCATCTTAACCTCTCTCAAGCACGATTCCAGGGAGCCATTCCTCGTAACCTTGGGAATCTCTCAGAGTTGCAGTATCTTGATCTCCGAGGTAATTATTTCTCGGAAGAAGTGAAAAGTCTTCAATGGGTTTCTGGACTTTCTTCTTTGCGGTACCTTGATTTGAGTCGCATTCATCTTGGTAAAGCAACTGATTGGTTGCAGGTAACAATATCCAATCTTCCTTCTTTGTTAGAGTTGCACTTGTCTGGTTGCATGTTACAAGATGATACATCTCCGATCAGCACTGTTAATTCTAACAAATCATTAGTTGTTCTTGATCTTTCTTGGAACCGATTATCTTCAGTTCCAATGTGGATATTTGATCTTCATGGTCTTGTGTCGCTTGATCTTAGTCTCAATCATTTGGAAGGCCCAATTCCAGATTACTTTGGGAACATGTCGTTTCTTAAAGTTGTTGATCTTGGTTGGAACTCACTCAACTCATCCGTACCCAACTCCTTGTATAGTTTAAACCACCTTCAATTCCTTGGTCTTACTGAGAACAATTTCCAAGGCGAAATTTCAAATGCCATTGGAAACTTGAGCTCTCTCAATCATCTTGATCTGTCGGAAAATCAGCTTCAAGGAAAAGTACCAGCATCTTTAGGAGATCTTTGCAAATTGAAGGAGATGGATTTGTCATATAATAGAATTGATCAAGACATATCAGAAATCCTACAGAGTCTGTCTAAATGCAGTTTGGAGAGCTTAGAGTTATTGAGTATGGCAGATAACCAACTTTCTGGCCATTTAACTCATAAACTTGGGCAATTTAAAAATTTAGCTTCCCTGGTCCTTGCTCGAAACAACATTTCTGGTCCCATTCCATTGTCGATAGGGGAGTTATCATCTTTGAAGGTCTTTGATGTTTCAGAAAATCAATTAAATGGTACTCTGTCTCCAAATTTTGGGAAATTGGCAAATTTAGAAACTCTAGATATTGGGCAAAATCAATTAAATGGTCCTTTTCCTCCAAGTCTTGGGCAGTTGAAAAATTTAGAAACTCTAGATATTTGGCAAAATCAATTAAATGGTCCTCTTCTTCCAAGTTTTGGGCAGTTGAAAAATTTAGGAACGCTAGATATTGGGCAAAATGAGTTGGAAGGAGTTGTATCGGAAACTCATTTTTCTAATCTCACAAAGTTGTCAATGTTGTCTGCATCCGGAAACATGTTAAGATTTGAACCAAACTCAAACTGGATTCCTCCGTTTCATTGTGAAATTATCCAATTGAGTCATTGGCATCTTGGCCCCAAGTTTCCCCATTGGTTGAAGTTCCAAAAGAAGTTGATTGCTTTAGATCTCTCTCATGCGGGAATAGCGGACGACGTGCCCACTTGGTTTTTAAACCTTTCCACTCAATTTCAAATATTAAATCTTTCCTCCAATCAACTTACTGGAGGGATTCCATATTTGAAAGTAGGAAACATGGTCGACCTGAGTTCAAACCGATTCTCTGGTCCGCTGCCAAGATTGTTGTCAAACCAATTCTCTAATCAACTTCCAGTCCGATTTTATAGTCTGTCAAAGAATTTATTTTCAGGATCCCTTTTTGAATTTGTTTGCAATTCATCAGTGCCATCAATATTCGTTCTTCACATTGATACAAATCTTCTCTCTGGAGAAATTCCAGATTGTTGGAACCGTTGGAAGGAGTTAGGGATCTTAAATTTGGGAAACAACAATTTGACAGGAAGAATCCCATCTTCCTTGGGAGGTACACGTCTTCGAATGCTAAACCTTCGGAACAATAGCATGTTTGGAGAATTACCCTCCACATTGCAAAACTGTATGGGTTTGGTTATTCTTGATCTCAGTGAAAATTATTTCAGTGGAAGAATACCTGCATGGATTGGTGACAAGCTCTCTATCCTTATGGTACTAAGCCTCCGGTCAAATAACTTTGTTGGGCATATCCCTCATCAAATTTGCGCTCTTCAATCTCTTCAGATCTTGGACCTTGGACACAACGACATTTCAGGAGCTATTCCAAAATGTTTGAGAAATCTAACTGCAATGGCCATTAAAGAAAAACAAAGTGAGATCTATTACAATTGGATATCGTACAAATACAATATGAATATACATGGGATCTTGATGAGTGCGTCATTGGTGCTGAAAGGGCGAGAGGACTTGTATAGTACCACACTGGGACTTGTTACAAGCATAGACCTTTCAGCTAATAGTTTTACAGGACAGATCCCAAAAGAAGTTGGAACTCTCATTGGGCTATTGTCATTAAATTTGTCAGGGAATATCCTAACAGGAAATATACCAGACATCATTGGCAACATGGAGTTGATGGAATCGCTTGATTTGTCGATGAATCGTTTGCATGGTGGAATCCCTTCAAGTTTCACAAATTTGAACTTCTTGAATCACTTCAACGTGTCCTACAACAACCTGACGGGACAAATCCCAACAGCTACTCAGCTTCAAAGTTTTGATAACTCTTCCTTCATGGGCAATCATCTCTGCGGGCCTCCTGTGAGTAAAAGCTGCAGCACTGAAGGTGTTCCGACCGATGCTACAAAGAATGGAGAAAGCAGTGGAAGAAGTAAAGTGAACGGGTTTTATGTGAGCACGGTTGTTGGGTTTGTAATGGGATTTTGGGGAGTGGTGGCTCCCCTGTTTTTCATCAGGTCATGGAGGCATGCATATTATGGAAAGCTGGAGCATATTGGTAACAAGGTGTACGTGTTTTGGGCTACTAAATGTATTTAGTTCCATAGGGAAACAAATAAAATGTATAATTAATGTTTGCGTGTGTTTGTAGTTTGTGTAACTTATTGACAAAGTATGTGTGATTGAAAAAGTTATAACAAGTATAATTAAGGTTTGTGTGTGTGTGGTTTGTGTAATATATTGAAGTATGAAAGAAGTGTGTTTGGTATTTCAACAATGAGTATATGGTTCGGTTGAAGACTGCAAATGTTTCCTTTTTTACTTTGTTCAGTCCATTAACTTAGGAGATTGATTTCAATTGACACCTCGAGAGATCACGATCTTTTGACATGACTTCTAACAAACCTACGTGACCATTAAAACTAAATTAATTGTCAATTAATCATATCTACTTAGTCTACCAACTTATAGGCAGCCATAGTAACCTTATATTTAAATATATTTTATTAAAAATATATATTTAATATTTTTAACGTTATATTTTTAGGTTTCTGAACCATCACGATCATTAAATTTGACTGTTATTTGATATGTGTTATGCAAATAAAATTTCAAAAAAAGATTTAAGAAAGATACATTTTTAGATACCTAAACTATACATTAAATTAAGAAAGGCAGAATATCCTTTTTGGCCCTCTAACTTAACCACTTTAATCCTTTTAACCTTTAAACTTACATTGAGATCTTTGAACGTTTAGCTTTTATCAAATTGACCCAATTGTGACGTGACAACAATAAATTGCTAAATTGATCCATTTAATAACTCGATAGTTAAAAAAATTGTTATTTTACTTTAAGATCCTCGATTCGAATGATATCTACATGTCTATTTACATTATTAGTAACTAAGAAAATAATCACCTTAAAAATTTTACAATATGACATCATTAATTTTTTAATTTTTTTTAAAAATATAATATATTAAAATTAAATAAATATGGCAATTGAAATTTAAGTTTTAATGATATCATATATATTAAATGAAATGAAATAAACTTGAGAAATTAAGAAAACCTATGTACGTGAAGTTCTAAAATCCTCCGTGTTTAAAATTTAGTTAATGATGGTGAGAAGTCCTTCATATTACAAGGTCGGATGAACCCCAAATATTCAAATAGGTAAACAATAGGGTTTAGGGATTCATGCATGACAAGAAGAAAACTTAAGGAATCTGATCCCATTCACAGGTTCTCAGCACTTTCTAGCATTTGAGCACCCTACTGACTTCGACGACATCGAAAACCCTATACGAAAACCACAACCGAAAAGCTAGGTGCCGATCTCACGGACCGGATTCCCTTGTTCGCTATATATTTATACTTGAAATCTAACTCCCGAACACCATGGCACGGGAAAACGCGGTATCCATACCCGAGTCGAAGAAGGTTGTATTTTGCCATCAAATTCTATCCGAAAAGCCATGTCCCGTTCAAAGGTTTATTATTTGCCACCAGATTTAAAGATCAGACTGAGGCGATGTCTGCAACGTTCTTCTGAGATGATCGCAGAAATAATAAGAATCAATCACTTCAGAGGGAGGGGAGAGGGTGTCGTTTCTTACCATTGTTGGTTTTTCCTGAACTCTGTAAGGACAGGGTATATGTTTTCGAAGGCGGTGTACGTCTCATCTCTCACCTGAGACTCAAACACGAAAATTAGTAAAAACTAAATCATAAACAGCTTGCATGAACATTGAAGACAGGCAGGCCCGAGGTATCACCTTAGCTCCAGTGATCACAATCTTCCCTGACACGAAAATAAGAAGCACAATCTTTGGTTGTTTCATTCGATAGATCAGGCCTGGAAAGAGTTCTGGTTCATACTGCATTAATAGAACATTAAGATAAGCCGACCGATCATTGATCCTGACAAACAAGTCTTGACAAACACTGCTTTTAATCACCTTGAACTACAAAAATAAAGGCCAAAGCTAACTACGACAAGCCTAAACGTATCGTCATGTTCTAAAGGCTGTTTTACAATACGTATGATACCTCATTTTAAAAATAATTTGACCATAAACTTTGGTCCCTGTCCCTGGACTCGACAAATATAAGGGTAAGTAGACTCCAAGTGGATTGTAAGGAAAGACTAACTATAACAATGCACATACACGTATCAAAAAGGCAAGTGCAGTCCCGCACTCATATCTCAGACTCCCAAATGTCAACCTACAAAACATGCATATTAATATTCTTACACACAAGGAAACAACCCAATGATCGTGGGCTGTCACTTACACTTGAAAAGGCACCATGGGAGTATGCAAGACCTTCAAGTCTGATGGGAAATTTAACATCACAAGAACCAACAATGTTCTGAATCTTGAAGTCCTGCCAATCGCAACAGAAAATGGAAAATGATTGACCAAGTAGGAGAAAACATCATTGAAGGATTGAGATTTCAGGCTATATTTTGATCATTATTTGCATGGGAAAAATACAAAAGAAATCAATAATTACTGTACCTTAAACTTGGCGGGAAAGCCAAGCTTTTGGATGATTCTGGCATACTGAAAGCAGAAAATAAAAATCTCAATTAATCACCAATTTCATGATTGTATCTTCCTATTCTAATGATAAAAATAACTAACAGAAAGCTAATGGGCTCTAATATAGTTCAAAAACAGAATTAAAAAGCTATCTCAAAGATATATATATACCTTCCTTGCAGCCAGTTTGGACTGCTGTTCACTTTTAGCACCAGTGCAGACCTGAAGAAGCGAGGAAAGCTGTTTAGTAAATCAATAATTGAACCATGTTCAACACACTAGACCTAATAATTTACTAAATAGTTTTGACACAAACTTCCACAGCCAATAATTGCATGTGAATGTGATGTCAAATAAGAAATGAATTACCATCTTTCCAGAGGCAAAGATCAAAGCTGTAGTTTTGGGCTCCCTGATTCTCATAATGACTGCAGCAAAACGCTGTAGGTTATTTTTATAAAAAACGGTTAGCAACCAAATAACAGCAGAGCAGAATTAGAACTACACAAATTCGTATATTATTAACAAGTATTTAACCATGAGTAGCACACCTTTGGATTGTACTCTGCATTTCGAGCTTGCAGAGCAATCTGTTTAAGATCCAACTTGCAGTCTAAGTTTACAGTTGATACAATGTTCCTAGAAACACAACAAGAGTAACACCGGGATATGAAATACAGCCAAACTCAATAGTTTTTAAAGTAGAAACATGAAGGAACTTTTGTGAAGTCTCACTTCTAAAAATAAATTTCCCAATCACATAGGTTACAATTTCCCGTTAGTATCAATTACTGACATGTTTAGGCTTAAAACAAGTCAAGCAACTCAACTTATTGGCAGGCTTATCCCTCTTAAGAACAAAATAACAAGACTTAAGAGATGTGGCTTAACTCAAATGGTATATTATTTCAACACGCTAGTGAATCAAGCTTAGTAATGATCTTTTATAGGCTTAAGGGTGTATGAAGCCCTCAAACTTTTGAGAAAAAAGATCAGGCCCTAAAATCTTTTTGCACTTAAATTAGACTCTCAAATCAAGAAATTGAAATACCCACATGATACAATGTGATTCTGTCACATAAATTTGCACATTTTAAAAAAAAATATTGGAATTCTAAAATAATTTTAAAAAATTAAAATTTTTTAATAAAGATTCAAAATGCCATTTGGCAACACCATGATTAGGGATGGCAACGAAGCAGAACAGGTTGGCTTTTTAACCACCCCGACCCAAATTATCGAATTTATAACCTGACCCCGACCCAAAAAGATTTGTTGTTACACCCGCCTCAAACCCACCCCAAGATATGGGATGCAAACACAACCCAGATCCAACTCAATACTCTTCCAAATCCACTTCCTTCCTTTCGAAGCCTTCTTCCTTTCTCATGTTATCCAGAACAGATGTTGTTCTGAATCTCACTGCAAGTATCTCCCACCATATTTCGAATCATTAGGTAAGAACAACCTAAGAACCATTGGTATTTATTATTCATCTTGTCAGAATTACCCGCCATTTATATCTAAGAAACGTTGTTAGCATAATGAAACACCAAAACAGTAATATCCAAATATATCAATAAAAGACTTCCACTATTATGATACAAAATCACACTCAAGCGTCATAAAAATGTCCAACAAAGCCTACTCAGCCGACATAAATCATACCTCGTTTCTCTAAAATTCTTTTCAATGTTCACAAACACCACAAGCTAACATGGCATATCCCTACACCACCTAACCAACCTTCCCACAACATAATTGAAAACCATCTCACAAACTTCTCATCAGCAGGAATACATAAAGTGCAAATGTGTGCATGGGATACCCTACATGCCATTCTATCTTCAGCTGGTTCTCTTCGGGTAGAATTGATCAAAGGTTATGTTCTTAAAGGAAGAGGCGCAGCTGGGATTGGAGAAAATTGCTGCAGCTTAGGCAACAGGTGAATGGGGCTATGGTGTAGCCTTTCTAAGGGGGCAAGTACAATGAGGCGGTCAAATTATCTGTGATTTACTTAGCATGCCTACTCAAAACTCTAATTCACAATTACCAAAAGATCATGTATATCCACAATCGCTATTCAGCCAAATTATTCATCTTACAAAATCACCAAAATACTAAGACCCGGATCCACAATTGATTTAGGGTGGGCAAGTGTCAACTATGAAATCCGATTTTTCTCGGATTAGTTAACTATTTTACGAAATTTTATTTGTGCTCATCCGTACAGAAATTGTGTTGTTAACATATGCGTAACTACTCTAAAAAATATTTCAGGATCAGCCAGTGGTATCTCCAAAGCAACTTTCTTTTTCTCCTGAAAATCCCATGCCCAAAAACATCTAAAATTCTAAAGATCTCCCCATCTAGAACCTTATGAATATAAACGTGTTAGAATCGAAGACGACAAGAGAGACAAAAGGGAACTTACTGAAGAGTGGGAACAATGCCAGATGGATGCTTAGAAAGATCCACTGGTTGGCTCCCTTCTACGCCACCTTGTTCCGCCATTCTCTTCTTTGTAGCTCACCTTAAATTCTGTAAAAAAAACCCCAATATTTCCCAAAAAAGCTCTGGATTTTCTTCTAAACACAATTCCAAATCAACCCAAAGGAATTTGTCAAATCTAATCAACCCGTGGACCAAAAATTAGGTTTTTCTTTTTAAAAAGTTAAATCTAACCAAATTCAACCCGTTAAAAGATATATAATCCACGATTTTTGAAAGGAGTGAAAGAAAACACACGCTACAAAAACAGATCAGATCGGGTTCATTCAGATCTAAGCAAATTCAACACTTTTTTAAACGGAAAAAATTGGGAATTTTAAACCATTATATATAAACATATGAAAATGGGAGGGAAAACTGAGAGTGAGTGTTTGAAAACGAGAGCCTTTTATATATATAGAGAAGAGAAGATTTTGGGTTAAGATAAAGGAGAGAAAGGATTGGATTTGAGAGGGTGTGGATTTGAAGATGAGATTTTTGAGGGGTTGGTTTATAAGGAGGACAGAGAGGCAGTGTTTCGATCGGGGTGACCTTTTGTACCCTACTTATTGTTATTTATAGACGTTGACTCGGCTGTCCGGTTAGGAAACGTCAGTTACCGGCTTTTACCGGTTATATTGGGAAGAAAATAAAGCTTACCTACTAAGCTAATGTAATCCGGACTTGAACCAATATTATAAATTAAGGCTAAACTATTCGATTAGGACTTAAATTGTTAGTTTTGGTATATTTTAGAATTTAAATTTTTAGGTTTTTAAATCATGCATAAGGTTTAGTTTTTGTTTTATTTTAATATCCGTCGTTAAAAGCTTAATAATAGTCTAACGTGACCTAGTTCCGATGGACGGACAGCCAATCCAAACGGTGGACCACGAGAGAATGATAAGTCTACCAACATAGTCTAGTTTCAAGTACATTAGATGATAGACCTTGGAGATTGGATGATGAAAAAAATCGAAGATTAAGTCATCGATTTGGGAAAATTGAGGTGTTTTCAGGTGAAACGAATGTTGAAATTACATTCAAAGAGTCGAAAAAGGTGCGGGCTAGAAAATTTGGGCTTCATCGATTGATCACTTTAGATGTGACTGTTGACAAGACCGTCAATTGAGTTTTTAACGACAAAATACTAAAAATAAATAAATGTTATGTATGATTTTAAAAAAAATAAATATTTAGATACTAACACGGATCAAAACTGGTAGTTTAGATACTAAATTCGTAGTTTATTTAATTGAATTTTATATATTTTATAATCATTAGATGAATAAAATAAATTACTTAAATTAATAATATAAAATGAAAATATAGTAATAAGAAAAACAATTTAATAATCTTAATTGTGTATCTTCACTAATCCAAGTTTTTTTATCCTAACTCATATAGATATGTTAATATTAATATTAATAATAAAATTTTGGATGAGATTAGTATCGTAAGTTATTTTATTGGATTAAAATTCATAATTATGGTCATAGATACTTAATAATACGGTTATCATAAGATATTATACAAGATTATGCGACTAATTATGTTATATGTATCACAAGATATTAAAAGTATTATGAAAATAAAAGTATAATTACCATCAAGTTGTATTTATAATTTAATGAGTGACAAAATTATAATACACACGATAACTGATTTAATAACCAATTATATGTAGTAGTCTCCGAGAACAAGTCAATTTGTATTTTCTATTATTCGGGTCAGATATCAACCTTTTAGGTAATCTCCATATCTCAATCTTTAGATAATTTCTAAAAATTAATTGAAGTGTGCTTCCACAAATTTAGTATTCTAATCTTAATGTTTGATATGATTAAATCCTAATAAGATTTTATGTTTATTATGATTTTGGTTCTTATGGATAATTATTATTTTTTAATAAATAGAATTGGACAATCATTCTAATTAAAAATTAATAATTTATAGTCAACAAAATGATGTTAAATAACAAAATATGTGCATATTGAAGAGAAAAATTAAAGAGAGATCAGATGGAGCCCTACGTTCTCTCTGACTTTTCTAGAAACCCTAATGGTACGTACTTGGACAAGCCGTCAGGACGGCCACCAGATGGGATTAATCCTGGTGCTACTTCGATGCTCCCGAGAGGTCAGGGATAGCACCTGTTGGAGAGGTTTCCCCGGTTGTTAAGGAGGCATGGATCCATGCGAAGGACTCGGGGACAAGGTTGGAAGGTTTGGACGAAGAGATGAAGGATACCCCGGATGCTGGTGAGAACGAGCTAAGGGGGAAACCCTCGTTCCGTGATACGGTGGCTAGACAGGGAAGGGCGTCACAAGGCGACACCCGATCTCTGATTTGAACGTGGATTTGTTAGAGGGTGACGTGCAGATTAGATTGGAGGGCATCATACCAGATATTCAGTTCTCTGAGAGAGTTCATCAAGCTATTGATGATAAATTTTCTAAATCAATAGTTGTCCTCCTGTTAGGGAAATCGATAGGTTACAAGGCTCTGTTGAATCGCATTCAACTGTTATGGCAGCCGGTTGGAGAATCGCAACTTGTGGATTTGGATAACGATTACTTCCTAGTAAGATTTTCGGAAGACGCGGATTATGATAAGGTGCTTGAGGGAGGTCCTTGGATGATCTACGGTTGTTATCTCACGGTACAAACTTGGTCCAAGAACTTCTCAACCTCGGATGATCACCCGAAGTCAATTCTAGTGTGGGTTCGTCTCCCAGGTTTGCCTAACGGTATTATAAAGAGTTTATTCTGGATAATTGCAAAGGCGTTGGGTGTAGTTGTAAGGATCGATTACAATACTACTGAAGGACGGCGTGGTCAGTTTGCTCGACTGACGATTGTAGTGAATTTGAATAAGCCTTTAATCCCGAGGTTGATGATTGATGGTATGCATCAGGGGGTAGAGTATGAAGGTTTACCTACCATCTGTTACGCATGTAGAATGTATGATCATACATCGACTACTTGTTAAAAGGTGAATCATACTGAGCAAGAGGAACAAAGAGTTAAAGCGATCACTCCCAAGGATCCCTTTGGTCTTTAGATGCAAGTGGCCCCGAGAAAGAAGAAGGCTCCCATGAATAAAAAGATCGTAGAATCAGACCGTGTAATGCCAAGTAAGGAGAACCAAAATGGAGGAACCCGGTTTGCGGCTTTGATGTCGAGAGAAGATGGGATTCAACAAACTGAGGCCGATGGTAGTGATACAACTAGGGGTAAGAAAGTTGTGGGTGAAGATCGGGGGCGAGGACCATGCCTCGGCTATCTACAGACCCTTCGAGCAGTGAAGTCGACCTACTAATGCATAATGAGTTGAGCAAGAATAGAATGAGAGATGTGGAGATAGAGGAAGGGAAGCAGCAAGAAGGGAGCAAGGAGGTTATTGTAATTGGTTCCAAAGAAAATGTGGTACAGGTTCAATCCGAGCTTAATATCGGGAAGCATACAACATTCCAAATTGTTGATGAGGGTCGAAGAGAGGCGTTAAGCGAACGGAATGATAGATTTGGTGCAAAAATGGCCATGGTTAAATTGTTTTTCTAGTTTGAAATAGTCTAACAAAAATTTTAATTTTTCCTGGATTTTATTGTGGGTCGCTCTTGTAGCCCTAATATGACACCTCAGATCGGATCGAGTCATCTGTATTGGTTTGAGGATGTTACAATAAAACTCTATGTTTTTCCTTTTTCCTTAGTCAAATCGATGAAAGATTAGCTATTATATTTACCTCTTTGTTCAATTGATACATGGGTCGATATGTTTCGTTTATTCATTGACAAGTTTTCCCTACAATTAGAGTCAGCGAGCTAAAGATAAATATTGTAGGGATACGACAAAAAGATAGTGAATCATTATACGATTATTGTGAATGCTTCAAGAAATTGTGTGTAAGTTGTCCACAACATGACTTATCGGAACAAACCTTCCAACAATATTTCTATGATGAATTATTTCCCATGAAGATGAAAATAATCGATACGGCAAGCGGATGAGCCCTTGTAAACATGACACCTCATGTGGCTAGGGATTTTCAACTATGATCGCCAACGTTCAACAATTTTATCTCTCTAATGGACCCACTTAACGGGTTCACAAGATAAGTTCTTCTTCCATTTAAGATAAGAATGATAAACTTAATAATATAGTACAAACCCTTCTTGTAGGTAAAAAAGGTCTGGCTTGCTTCTGTGGAATATGTACTATGCTAGATCATCTAACAAATTATTGTCTGAGCCTTCAAGAAGATAATATGATTCATGTAAATGCAGTGTGAAATTTTTCTGCTATTTTTCAACAAAAAATCCTGCCTAAATACAAGGACCGAGGTATGTTTACAATTCCCTACAAAATTGGTAAGGTTGATATTAAAATGGCCATGTGTGATTTAGGAGCTTCGATTAACGTTATATATTTATCTTTTTTAAGTTTCTTAACATAGGTTATTTGAGACAAACAAGGGTGACGATCAGCTTGTTGAAAGATGGTGGTATATCCAGAAGGAGTGTTTGAAAATGTTCTTTTAAAAGTAAATGAATCGATATTTCCAGCCAACTTCTACGTCATCAATATGGAGAATGGTCCAAAATTCTGTTCGGAAGACCGTTTCTGAGTAAAGCACAAACAAAGATCGATGCTCAAAGCGGAATACTAACCATGGAGTTTAATGATGAAGTAGTGAAGTTTGATGTTTACAAGGCCATGAAATATCCTAATTCTGTGGCAAATGTTAGATTTATCAATGTTATTGAACCATTTATTGAGCACAATTATTTTGACAAATTGCACAGGGACTTGAATGATGAAGCTGATGTGTCAATAGAGTTGGAAAATATTTCTAACGTTGATTTATATTTACGCTTAAAGTCTTTTCAATCTAAACTTTTTCCATCTATTTTGCAGGCACCACAATTAGAGTTGAAACCATTGCAAAGACGTTTGAAGTACATGATTTTGGGCGAATGAGATACATTGTCGGTTATTATTTTAAATTTAGATAAGATCCCAAAAAATACCGACGAGAATCATAGAATTTCTCATAAGGAAACTCTCATTTGGAAAAAAAAATGAATGAAGTGAAGGAAGTATCTCTCGTGAAACCTGTAGTCTAAACTAGGTCGTCAAGCTAACGACGTTAAACAAAAAAATTCTCATAGGAGGCAACCATTTTTTATTATTTCTATCAATTTTTTACTATTTTTTTATTTTTCTGCTTATTTATTTTTCTTTTTTTAGGTACATCAAGTAAATTCGATCAAACTCGAATAATGACCATAACATTGATTCGCATGAAGGGCAATCTTACTCGTAGGGAATTTTAATACTGGTACATCCTTCGATGACTTCTCTTCCAAATAGTCCTCATCGCCATCATTTAATTTAAGATCAACCGACGCTAAACATAGGGAGTTTTTTTATCTCTACTAATTTACTTTATTTCGTATTGAGGTAATACCCTTTAAGTAAGGAGGAGTGGAATCAAATCAAAATTTTCTTATTGTTCATATGTTTGAATTTTGGTATGCTTTAGTTCGAATATGTTGAATTTTCTATTGAATATCTAGAGTTTTGTTGAATATCTTAGAATGTCACGAAAGTTTTGAACACATTTTTGTTTGAATTGAAATACATGAAAATGGATAGTGTGATAAGTGTTTTTCAAACGCTACAATGACATCTCATGAGTTCTTTCATTAAAATTGCACTTGACTTAATGCTAAATACACCTTTTGGTAAGATTTGAGCCTATCGAGCAATTCATTATATTCTTGCTCATTTTTCTTGTCTTGAGTGTGTCGAACTTAGTATTTATATTCTAGAACTTGCTTGTGAATACATGTTGAGACTACAATTTGAATTTGATGATTTAAAATGATATGGGCAATTAGGATTAACCCATCTCTCATTCCTTAAAAAATGTCTACCCATTTGTTTTCCTTATTTAGCCATTTTGAGCCATTTTTCCATTTTTCTTTATTTTTATCATACTTTAAACTCATAGCATTTTTATTTTATCCCTCTTTTGTCGAGACAAGAGAACAATTTATTCACGAAAAAGAAAAAGAAAAAATGAAGTTAAAAAAGTGCTAAAAAAAGAGAAAAATATTCGAAAAGAAAATAACTGAAAAGAAAAAGAAAAAAGTGAAGGGAAAAAAGGGAGTTGAAGTTTGGATGTTGAAATTCTTTTGATTGATTGAGTTTTGTTTGATATTGTTTTGTGAATTTGATCTTATAAGTATCTCTTGCCTTGACTATTGAGCCTATATTTTTGCCTTTTACCATACTACTACCTATGTCGTGTTACAATATTTAAAAAAACCCTTTGATTTGAGCATCATATTCATATACAGTGGGGGATTTGATTCACTTGCAATTCTATGGTAATTAGGAGTGTGTAAATTCGGATATCGGATCTGATCTAATCCCAAAATTTGAATATCTAAAAATTTTGAATACCTAAAATAGTGATTTATATCCGATCCAAAAAAATTGAATATCCAAATACGGATATAAGTATCTGAATATAAAATTTAATTTGAAAAAAAGAATAATTTAAAATTTTATGATTTAATGTAATTTATTTGATACTTCTACTATATTATATATATATATATATATATATATATATATATTAATTACTACACACAATAAATAATTAAATATTCTAACTTTTATTGGATTAAAGCTTTAATGGTTTACTTATTTATTATGCTAAAGGTATCTAAAATCTAAAAGCCTAATTTTTTGGATTTTGAGATAATCCAAAATTGAAATTTATTCGATTCGTATCCAATCAGATTATTCGAATTTTTTTCGTATATTCGATCCAAATTATTCAAAAATTGAAAAACGAATCAAATATCCAAATTTTTAAATCGGATCACTGGATGAACAGATCAAATCGATCGGATATTATCTTTTTGCACACCCCTAATGGTAATATTGTGTTATGTTCTGAATTGGAGAGTTGATTACACCTTAAATACTTTGAGAGTATTGAGTGAATCTATGTGAGAGTGTTAAGTCTTATCAAATTTAAAATTAATGAACTAATGAGATGTTCTAATTGTCATAAATTTAACCTATTCATGCTCTTCTATTTGATTGTTATTTTGGTTCGAATATTTGATGTGGATTCGACTTTTGTTGATATTTTGAAATGTGAAACGAGATGGAAGATAAATAGAAAAGTTAGTATGTTGAACTGATGCATGCTCGAGGACAAATATTGATGATGATGGAGAGGGGTAAAGGTGCACAAAAAATCCGAATATCAGATTTTGGGTAAAAAATATTCGAAACCGGATTTTGGAAAAACCGATTTTTTTTAAACCGGATCGGATATTTAAAAACCGGATAGTATAACCGGTTTGAGAAAAAATTGAACGACCGGTTTTTTTATCAGATAAAAAACCGGTTTTTTGCAAACCAAAACCGGTTACACCGGTTACACCATCCAACCCTCCAAACCGGTTAGGATCCGAACCGGTTTTTTTAAAATCCGGTTTTTGGGTTGGGAGAAAAAACCGGATCGGTTTTTATCCGATCCGGATCAGATTGAAATCCGGCTTCTGTGCATCTCTAGAGAGGGGTGACGATACATTTAACCCTAAAAGAAATACTAAAACTCCTTAAAAATCATGAACATAAACCTGAGTAACGTTTGCAAGATACGTGTAAAAGAGAGTAAAAGACAATCATTGTATGTCAAATGCAATAAAAAGATACAAACAATACTAAAATTCTCCTTTTTCTTTTTCTTTTTTTTTTTTTTTTTTTTCATTTTCAACTCTCATTAAAGAACAAAAACCTTAAAGAGGCTAATGAGCAATAACATTCTGCTCATGGTGGTTTAACTCTGTAAGATGTATTTTACCTATTCCAGCATTCCAAGGAATAAGGCTATGAAGACCGGTCCCAATACCTGAACGCCGATTGATCCAACTTAAATTAACAAACCAAAACGACAACCCCCTGTTCCAAATCCAAACTGCCATGATTCAGCAGGCACTCGCCACGCAAACGGGTTTCACCGGACCATCTTCGGTTGCACCGACCGATCTGTTCACTTCCACGGCTTTCACGCCTCCATCCACAGTCGATGCAACTGTTGATCTTTCCGATGTCTCGTTTGCTACTGGTGCAGTTTCTTTGTTATCGGTTACAGGGTCATCGTTAGGTTCTCCGATTGAAATCTGTTTAGGGAGAATACGAGACGGTTAATATAAAGAACTGTATATGCAAGCCAAAGATCGGATTCTATACGACACGTCTTTTATAAGAGTCGGACTTACCTGTTTCTGTAAAAGCCGATGCTTGGCCTTTTTCTCTTGGATTATCTTTTGACGAGTCTCGTAGAATTCGAAGTCATCAAGGATACATGTCTTGCTGGAATGTTCCTTAAAAATTTTGAGAATTTGATTCCCTTGCTCAAAGTTAACCTACAGCAGCCACCAACCAATTTAAAATGAACCATAAGAATAACCAAAAGGAGAAATATATAACACACTCGCGCACGCACACATATAGTGTACCTCTTGAGTGTCTCTACTATTAGTGACAGGCTTGTTCTCATTGTTCGTAAGCGTTATGTGCCTCAACAAAGTGTTCGGAACATCCTTAACAATGTGCCACTTCACAGGGAAGCAACCAGTCCACTTATCTTGTTGCCAGTATTCTACGGTTTTGTTGAAATCAACCGGACCCACCATTTCTGCTAATCCTACAAATTGTCCACTGGTATTAACCTGGAAAATGTGGTGCAGACTTGGTGAGAATCAAGCAAATCATATACTCGTTAAATCAGCACAGCAGATGGTAAGGTGATCGTACTCACCGAAAACAATAGAAATACAGGACAACCATCGGACTTCTCATTGGCCTCACGGAATGCAGCATCGAGTTTTTTGTTGCCATTAGATGTACTGGCCCACACATTGTATTTGATGCTTTTGTGGACATCATCCTCACTATAGGATTTGATGACAAAAAACTTGGCATCTGAATAACTCTCGGGAAAATCTTCTTTATTGTATTGTTCCAGATCTGGAACGAGATCAACAACGTTCTCATCATTAATCATATTCTGTGGAAGGTTCTGATCTTTGACAGCTACTGTTGCAGTTCCAGAACCATCCTTATTCTTATACCCTTTTACTCTGGGTCCTTTGTTTAGCTCATTGAAACCATCGATTCTCTTTTCCATAACCCCGGAACCTAGATTTGTTGTAGTTACCAACATTATACAGCCCTGGTCCATTCTTCCGGGCATCATAGCCGTATGATCCAAAACCAGCACCACCTCTAATGGTGTGTCCATACCCATAGGTCATATTATTGGGGTACATGTGGTTCATGTATCCAAATGCTTGGCCTACACCTGATGCATGTCTAGCATTGTGCATATTCTGCAGTCAGATCATTAGAACAATTACGTCAATCAACGATGAAAGAAGCAATACAAGTAATCTTACATATATCGACCAAGACCGCCTATCAATCTACTCATGCAACTCCGTATCTTTGCTCGTGCAAGTAACTAAACAGTTCGAAACATACCATGACATGAGGGAAGGCATGGAAATTCTGATTCCCGCTGGAAGAGAGGTTCGTATATGAAGAGAACCCACTATTTGCATCAGATTGCCCATTAGGAGACATGGACATATCCAACCAAGGAATTGGCGACTGAATCCCATCATAGCTAAATCTCGGGTCCCGATAATCTTGATATAGATTACCTGTTGGCAAGCCTCCTTTATAGAAAGCATTGGGATTCAGAGAGAAACTCTTGAAGGTTGATTTTAGCGACCCAGACCCACCACCACTCGCTATAGCACTTGAATTTCCTTTGTTTCCTTCAACGGGTAAAGAAGCTTGTTCGGCAACACCGAAACTTGAAACATCAACTTGAGAAGCATTGGCTTGAGTAGTTTGAAGCGTCGGTTGGTAATACGGACTTGGATAGTAGTACTCTTGCAAAGCATGTAGCTGACCATCATGTCCCATAGCAGGAAGAGGTGGACTGGGAATAGAATACGGGGCATACGACATGTAACCGTATGTTTGCGGGTACAAATAAGAGCCATTATCACTGTAGAAATCCTGTTAATAGAAATTATGCATATCAAATACAAACATATTCATCTCAACATGCAACCAGTATAGATCCCAAACAAAATTAATAGAATCGAACAATGCCTATAACCGACTATTCTATAACTAATAACAACTAAAACTTCTATCAAGACAAGAATTTACCACCTTGACAGGTTCAGGAACTTTTGTGGTCTTGGCTTGGGAATCCAAAGACAAGTTCTCCAGTGAATCTGCAACTTCTGTAATTATAGCAAGTAAAGGATGAAAACAGAACATAAGGCTTAAAAATTAAACAATACAAAATTTGAAATACATAAAAAGCATGTCACTTAAAGCAATCAACATCACAAACCCCAAAATCAATTCATGTATGCATATATACAAACACCAACAATAAAAGATCCAAACAAGAAACCACATTCGAAAGCATAAGCTTCATGAAAACGTCTTATCCAGATCTACAGAAGATGAAAAGCTTGAGCTAAACCTTTGGGGTGGGGGGGAGGAAAAAGAAACATTAGACCCTGATCCAAATATATAAAAACACATTCAAATTCATGAACTTCAAAAACCATCAAACTAGAATCCATAAAAGCTGGAATTTAACATAAACCAATAGGAAAAAAGGTACAAACTTTTGAATAAACTTGTAAAAAGAAACCCTTTAAAGCTTATTCCAAAAAAAAAACTTATATGAACAGCTTGAAACTTCAAAACAAGCAAACCCTCAAGAGCAAAAGAGAAGACAATGAAAAAGCCAATAAAGGAACACCGAATCTGCAAATCTACATAAACCAAAGCATACCCAGAGGAGTTAAGTTAGGACGGATACGATCAGGAGTGGCCATGAGCAGAGAGAGATAAAGGGCGGATATTTAGATAGAGATAGAGGAGTAAGAGGCGGTAGAGAGAGAAAGTGAAGAGAAAAAGAAAAGAAAACCCTAGTGTTTGGAAAGTTAAAGAAGGGAAACGAAGGAAGCCGTGGAGAAGGGACAGCCGCCAAAAACCGAAGGAGCCTTAAGAGGGTGGGTTTCACTTCAAAATATACACACACTGCTCATTAAAAAAAAAATATTTTTTCTTTTTATTTTAAAATAAAATAAAATAAAAGTGTGTTTGGTTAATAGAACGTATGATTATCAGTAGAAATAGGATTATTGGTGGGAATACGATTACTGGGAATATTGTATTTTGTGTTTGGTTTGTTTAACATGAATGTAAGATTATAATATTTGATTAAATGAATAAAAAATTATTGAAATGTATATTTTACCAAATTGCCCTTATTATATATTTATTTTTTAACAAGTTGAATTCTACTATAATATTATTATAATTAATTTATATATTTTCTTTAAAAAATTTAAATTCATAAAATTTATATAACATTTTTTTACAAAATTGAAAAGATAAATAGGTTTAATGAAAGAGTAAAATTTTATTTTAACCCCTAAACTTCATATAAAATTTTAATTATCGATTTTTTTTTGTAAATCTAAAATAGTTTAAGGATAAATTTGTAATTTAACTTTCGTAGAATTTTTATTATTCAACAACAGAAGAAATATATTTTTGAAAAAAATTAAGGGCATTTTAGTCCAACATGTCAGTAATCCAACAATACCTAAAGGAAGGTGTAATCACATTCCCAATAATATAACCAAAAATATCACTGTTGGGAATAAAAGATTACCGATCAATAGGATTACTGGCCAACCAAATAGGGGAATGACATTACATTCCCCGGTAATCTAATATGACGTGAACCAAACGCACCCTAAGAGTAAAATATACTGAATATCATTGAATTTAAGTTTTAGTCTAATTTTGTCCTTAAAATTAATATTTAATCACGACACTAAATCGTTAAATCATTAATAAAGTAGATATTTTTTCATAAATTTTATTTACATATCAATTTTATTATTAAACTTCAAATTTTAAGCATTAAATTTCATGTTACATATCAATTTGATATATATAGAATATCGTCAGTTTTATTAATCAATCTTCTCTTATCATTTTTCATCATGTACAATAAAATTGATATCAAAATGTTCATATTTCACTTTTTCTTTTTTTTATTGGACGGAGAGGGGGCTTTGCACATCTCAAAACTTTTTATTAAGATTATTTACTTATTTGGACTCTTTATTTTTATTTATTTAGATCTTGACTTATTTTTTATTGTTAGTTACACTTTACTCCTTGATCTTTATTTATGACTTCGGTTTTTCTTCCCATATTAATTTTCGACGAAAATTACTTAAAATTGACAAAAATATATCTAAATATTCAATGTTTTAATGCTCTTATTTCTCCCGACAATCGTCTGATGATGCTAGTATTAAGATATGTTGTTTGTTTACTCAAAAAATATTTCTTAATGTTCTTATTTTTGAACAAACACTATAAACCCATCAAATCCATTAAATCGTCAGACCAAAGAAATTATGTTTTTTTATGTTTATTTTCGTGGGATTTAAAGATGTTTTAGGATGTTGAATAAGATGATGAAATGATTTTATCTGCGACTAGGATAATCACAAAAAAAATTAGTTGATCATATTCTCATATATAATAGGATAAGGGGGAGGTAGGGTAGTAAGTTGGCCCCCAATGCTATGTTGAGAGCAACTTCTGTGAAATACCTCCGGCAATTATGAATTGTCCTCCGTGGGACTCGATCCCACAACCACAAGGTTAAGAGCCTTGTGCTCTACCAACTGAATTGGACGGGCAATTCTAAGATAATCACAAAAAATGTAAAAAAAATCTAATGAAGAAAAATAGTGATATGAAATAAAAAAATATTTCTGGCTTCCGTATCAAAACTAAAACTGTCACATCATCCGATTGATAATTGTTTAATGATTGAATTCTTTAATTAAATTCGAAATTCGAAATAAAGTTTTGATATTTAAAATTGAATTAATGTAAAGTTTTGTGATAAAATCGATATTTAGGGTAGTTTAGGACAATGGATGGATTGGGTAATCCCCAAAATGGAAAAACGGTTATTCGAATGCCTCCTTGGCTCCATTTGGACCATTTCCAAATATGGAGATTTTTTTATTTATTATTATTTTAAGTGGTTAACTGAATATGGTCTTCTTCTTTCCTTTGTGGGCTTGTTTTTTTCCTTTTGATCTGTTAAATTTGGGATTTATTTTTAGATTGGGCCGAACCATTAATCTTAAGGGCTTTTTTGACTCGTTGCAAAATAGAGAACAAACACTTTTAGACGAGGATCTACGTTATTTTCTACAGTACATAGAATTTGTTATGTCGAGATGATTAGTTCTAATAAAAAAATTATTCAAATTTTTTATCTTGATGTGATAAATTTTAATAAAAAATATATTTTATTGTAACTCGTCACGTCTAGGGATGGGCAGGGGTCGGGTTTCGACCAACCCGACTCAACCAAAAACTTTTACTCCCTTCAGACCTAACCTAAAAAATATACACCCTCCATCAAACCCGAGCCCGACCCGACTTTTCGAGAAAAAATCCAAACCCTACTTTATCCGACCAGACTCGAAATAATAAAAAATATTATTTTTATTTAATAAAAATAGGAATTAATTGAAAAAAAAACAATATATAGAGGGATCTTATTGTAATTATCCATAAATATATAAGATAAAATTATATTTTTTTCCTGGGCCAGGTACTTTTTACCCTAAACTCGAACCCGACTCGACCTGAACATCACCTTTAAAAAACCCGACTTGATCGAACCCATTTTTTTTAAAAAAAACTGACCTGATCAGGTCGGATTAGGTCGAAACTCGTCGGGTTCGGATCTCATGCACATGCCTAGTCTCACCGAGGTGACGAGTTTAAATAAAAAAATATTTTTATTGAAATTCATCACCTCCATATGACGAGTTCCATGAAAACTGTAGCATTTATCGTTTTATCTAAAATAAATATTGGTGTGCCCAAATGGGCTAAATAAAAAATCTGTTACCCTTAATAGGAAAAAGAAAACCGATTATAGTATGTATTATGTACATAAATGCAAGTGATATATTTAATTAAATATGAATCAAACTGCGATTTGCGAATTTGGTTTGGTTCAATTTTACGATTTTTTACCATTCACTGTTTTTAAAACCTAACATGTAAATAAAGTAAATATAAAATTTAAATTGAATGCAAATATAAAAATTATAATTTATAAAAATATTATTAGTTTTCAAATTTTATTTATTTAGATTTGTTTTATAATAAATTTAAAACAAATTTATTTTGGATAATTTTTCTTTTTTTAAAAATAATTGGGTTTAATTTAGAACAAACGTCTTCCCTGAAAAATTGAAACGGAACGAATTACATAATTATATTTTTAAATTGAACCGAAACTGAACCGTAAAATAAAAACTTAAACCGAATCGCATAGTTCGGTTCGAATCAATTTTTTTTATTTTTTATTTTTTGTTTCAGCTTCGTCGTTCAATCCTATTATCATTTAAGAAATATTTAAACCAATATTATATCGTAATTATTTTATATCATTAAAAAACAAATTATATAACATTAATTACATAATTAAATCCATATAGGGTGAAATTAATTAGGGGTTGAAATAGTGGACATGCATACGTAGCACAAGTACAAGTTGGTGTGGATGTTGTTACGGCAGTGCCTACCTATTAGCTCATAATGGATTGGTTTAAATGAGTATTAACACTTGGGTTGCTATTCGTTGTGTTGTGTGCCAAAGGATGTGAATGTATGCTTCCTATAATGGATGTGTATATAGAAAAGTATAGATTGGATTTTTTTTATCGACTCGAATTCGATTTAAAATTTTAAATTTATATTTAAATCTAAATCTAATATAGTATTTAGTGATTTTTCCTCTATTCAAAACTTATCTCTAAAATTCTTCTCGACACGAAATAAATAGACAAAAACAGTCATTTTTATTTAAAAAGTAAGGGATAACAAGAAAATAAATATAAAAATATATTTATAGTAATCATCTTTATTTTCTTTTTTAAATTAATCACTGGTATCCGATTTATTGATCGACTAATCCAGATTGGGTACTGCAGAAGCGAGAGCGACTCTCTCAACCCAATTTGCTCAATTCGCAAACGTCAAGTTTCGTACCTCTAACCTTGCTTAAAGGACATAGTGTCTCATCCCACTAGATCAACGGATTGTATATAAAAATAACAATTATCTTAATATAAAGAATCTATACTAATATTCTAGCTCATGTCAAATCAAATATTTTCTCTTATCAAAACTCATTTTATTTCAAATTTAACTTTTTATTATAAAAACTTAATCTTATAAAATCAAGTCGAGTTGAATTTTATATCTATTCCTATAATTTTTTTATACAAATATAGTTTAGGTTAAGGGTGACTCTCCCAGTCTAAGACTAGGGTATATCTAAGATCCAATTGAGATTTACATATGAATTTACAGATTATCCAAATGACAATACTAGGATTCAAACTTGGCCTTACAAGCTCAAATTTCAAAATCCTAACTATTTATGCCCACACTCGTTGGCATATCTATTCCTGTAAATGTATAGGGGACATGGTAGTTTGCAGGGACGGAGCCAGGATTCTAACTTAAGGGGAACAAAGTATAATTAACCATAGAAAATGAGGGAGCTAAAATCAAAATAAACTGAAATTTGAAGCCCTAATTTCATACTTTCCCATATATTTTTTAATAATAAAATATTGGGGCGTTGGGCAGTGGGCCCTCGACCTAAGGTGGCTCTGTCCCTGGTAGTTTGCCCAACTTTGCGGAACTGCTGCCAGAATATCCATAATCATGCATGTACACTGTGGTTGGTTGGCCTTAATAGTCCACACAATTACGCATAATTTGGCCCTCTCGTCTCCTACTCTTGTTCCACCCCCATAAATTAAAGGGCTAAATATATTCATAGTCAATAAAATTATGTTAAAGTTATTTTTTTTATATAGAAATGAAAGTTGTTAATTTTATTGAAGAAGAGAAAATATTTAAAATTATAAGGTTTAATATAAAAC